CCCTAGATAATCGTGTTCTTATCCAGCTACCTGAGGGAATCCCTGGGCAAGGGAATCCAGTGCCTGAAACAGTCCCAGGTAAGGAGCTAATCAGTTTTCCCACCAGAGTGCTCTTTTCCCCTTAACTGGCCCAGGGGGTGTAGGTCTACTCACTCAGTCTCTGCCCTGCAAGCTGATTTAGGTAGGTGGCTGCCTTCAGGCCTTCTGCTGGGTTGGCTCCTTTCCTGGCTCTATAGGTGGTCCTCACTCTGGGGGCCTTCCCACTGGGCCCCCTCCCAGGCTCCTGCATCTCAGTCTCACATCTTCCACCCAAACTCTCCTGCTGTTGAGCAGGCTTAATCATATGTAAGGGCTGCTGTGGTCCCATGCCAAGTCTCCTGCTTGGGGATTGGCCAAAGTCCCTTGACTATGCAGACCAGCCCCTCCTCACCCCCACCAACTGCTTCTAGAATTTTCTCCAAGATTCTAGAGCTGAGGGAGATATCAAGGAACTGATCTGCAAAGCCTCTCAGCCCTGACCTGAATTTGACTCAGCTGACTATTGCCCAGGCTGCCACTCGGTCCTTCCGACTAAAAAAATAATCAGCTAGCTCCTAACAAGGAGGGTACTATTTAGCATATACAATTGCGACACAAGTCATATAGCAATTTGCTGTTACTAAAAATGACCTTTTTCAGCATCTGTTATTTTCTGTAAAATTTAATGCAATGCAATATGGCAACCTGGAGGCATTCTGTACACAGTTGCTGTGCAGAATGCCTCAGACATGTAATTTCCTGCTTGTGTGATTGGCTCACTGATTTTCTCAGTAGTCTGGACTAAGTAACAACTCAGATTTTGGGCATCTGGTGCAACAGAAGTGTAATTTTTGGTGAGGTACCCCCAAAGGGAGGGAAATCACGTCTAATGGAATTCAGACCCTGCACCTTTCCTCATTAGAACCCTGCAAGTACAGCAACTAATTGATAATTATAAAGTCAGTCCCTGTTATGGACCAGCCGGCGGTAGCCTCTAGCGCTCCACAGACCGGGATTCCCCAAGGCATGGAATCTAAGCCCTGACCTGCTTGTTCACCAGGGCCCCTGATGGACTTGGAGCAGACCAAAACCAGGTCGCGGCCCCTGGGTGCAACCAGTTGTGGTAGATGCACTTGCCGGTGGTATATAGCAGGTGAAAGCCTGATGTGAGGAGGCAGAGTGAGCGAAGTCAGACAGGCCAGGTCGGTAATGATGGAGGCAGGATGGTACAAGCGGCAGGCAGAAGAATAAACGGGTCACAGGCCGGGTTCGGTAATGGGAGATCAAACGTGCAGGATTAGGCAGGAGAATGGTCAGACAAGCCAGGGATCAGAGCAGGAGACGGTCAGCGAATCAGGGTCAGGCAGTGTCGGCAACAAGGCAATCTCTCAGGAAACACAGGATACAGGTAAAGACCATACGGCAACTTGAGCATAGACATAGCCTGTTTAAATAGGGCGCCCTGCGCCCTCATTGGTGCCGGGCGCGCGTCCGCAATCACGAGTGCGAATGCGCGACCGCCGTTGCCGTCGCGGGCGCCCAGGTCCTAATGCCCGCACGCTAGTGCGCCCCGGCATACCGCGCATGCGCTGACCCGTGCGCCGTGGTAAAGCCTGGGGTCCCTGACACTCCCACTCACTCTGCACATGGACGCAGACAAACAAGCCATTTCTTCAGAATAACAAAAGATAAGAATCTGCACAACAACGTTTGTAAAAATCCCTGCAATGTACATTGATCACCCACAGGGGAATGTTTTTTTCTCAACAAAAGTGGAGTTACTCTTTAAAGTTAAGATCACACTCTTCACAGATTCAGTTTATTGTGGAAATTTGGGCCATGATCCTGAAGCTGAACTTCAGGCAAACAGATGAATGCATAATTACATTATTTTGCTTTTTGAACCTCTCTTATTATTTATTTATTTCTAGCACTTGTATAGCACCATTTCCGCAGTGCCTTACGTATTTATTATACATTCAGATCAGTCATGCTCATACATATGCATACAAGAGCCAATTTAGACAGGAGCCAGTTAACCTACCAGCATGTCTTTGGAGTGTGGGAGGAAACCCACAAAGGCACAGGGAGAACAAGCAAACTCCATACAGGTAGTGCCATGGCTGGGATTTGAACCAACGACCCTAGTGCCAACCACTTTGCCACTGTGTAGCCTGTTATCTTTTATGCTGAGTTGTCCTAAATATTATAACCACTCCCTTGGTCCTGCACAGCCAAACTCCTCCCTGACATCATGGGGAGCCGGTTGACTTTTCCAGGTTATTGCAGCCAGCCCCCTGATGTCACGGATCAGGCTCACCCTCCTCCAATTGAAAAGCTGCTGACTCCTGGGATATTTGATGTGGCTATCCCAAGAGGCATCATATACAGAGTATACATCAATCTGACCTAGGCAAGTATGGTGGCAGAGGGGTGGAGTGCGAAGCAAAAAAGTAAATAAACAAAAAATATATTTTTGCTTTTAACATTTGCGGAGTAGGGATGACTGCATTAGTACAGTTCTTTTTTATGTGAAGACCTGCTTTTAGGAATACAGTGCTGTTACCCATCACTGCCCAGATGTATCCTGCTGATTGGACAATGTAGAAGCAGAATCATACTCATAGTCAGGGCCTGATCTAGCCTATCTGATATGGGGGTGCAGTAAATAAAGTCAGGGGGCAGAATGTCAACACTGTGTGTGAGTCACTGGCAGTCTGTTGCAGTGTCATAGCCTTGGAAAGACTATTATGGATTTGGCTATCTTTAGAATAGGATGATTAAACAGAACCTGTGCCCCCTTATATCCAGGTCCCCATCAGAGTGCCCTTCTTACATCAGGAGTCCACATCAGAGCACCCCTTTATATCAGGTTCCCATCAGTTTTCCCCTTACATCAGATGCCCCCATCAAAGTTTCCCCTTACATCAGATATCCCAATCAGAGTGCCCCCTTACATCAAGGTCCCCAACAAAGTACCCCTTTACATTAGGGTCCCTGTCAGAGTGCACCCTTACATCAGATGTTCCCATCAGAGTGCCTCCTTACATCAGGGTCCCCATCAGAGTCCCCCTTGCATATGATCAGTTATCTCCATCATAGTTTTCTCTTACATCAGGTGTCTCCATCAGCGTGTCCCCTTACATATGACCAATTACCCCAGCAGAGTGCCCCCTTAAATTAGCTGTCCCCATGAGAGCGCCCCTTACATGGATTGTCCCCATCAGAGTGCTTCCCTACATCAACTGTCTGCATCAGACTGGCTTATGCATTCTCAGGGAGCCCCCCCCCCCCCAGATCTGGCCCTGCTCACAGGTCATCATTTTTGCTCTCCCCACCAGTCAGAATGTTCCCTGTCAGAACATGTGTAATCAGCAGAGCCTGATTGGCTGCTAGAGCTGCCCTTCCTTCTCCCACTGCTGCTGTGCAGGGGATGACGGGAAGCTGATATCAAGCCAGATCCAGGTACTTATGCTATCTGTATGTATAAAATACATGTAATTACTTTCAGAGGAATATCCATTAAATGGTGTTTTATATCTGCTTGGAGTTTTGCTTTAATTATGAAGGGGACTTGGTTACCTACCAACGGGTCTAGTCAGTGTCGAAAAACACTGCCAAGCATGCCGCAAGCGCTGCACCTCAAAGCTTGGCAAGGATAAAGAAAAATAATTCAATCAGATAGCGGCAGCGAATGAAGTAAGGTAACGGGCAGGGGTGAGGGATAATAGATGTGCAAGCAAGGCAAGCCATGGACAGATGCACAGAGGAGGCAAATGGTGGAGGAGAAAATGAATAACAAAGGAGAGGCAGAGAAAAAAGTTGCAGGCAGAGGCAGCACAAGAGGGAGTTTGAAGGAAAAATCTGTTCCCCAGGATCTGTGCTTTTACTGTCAGGCTGCTCTGATTAACGGGCTGCCTTCCAGCTCCCAGCCGGCTGCCTGACTGTCTTCTCCCCCCACCCCCCCTCTTTTCCTCCCCATCCTTGTCCCTGCTGCCTTCCTGGCGTAGGCGGGGCCTGTTGAAAGGTTACATTTGCACAATGTGCCTCTGGATAAAGCATGCCAGGGGGAGGGAGATGGAGAGGGGAAGGGAGGGGGCAAACAGAGCACGCACAGAAAAAGCCAAACCATTCTGCAGTGTCTGTGTAATGGAAAAAACCCTCTGGGGACGTGCAGAAAAATATCAAGTTACACTCACTCAGTACAATGAAGGGGAAAGAAAAAAAAATCCTTCTCTGCTTGCAATGTGGAAAGAAAGCTCTTTCAAAGGGAGCGGAGCTTGATCAGAGAGGATTGTTCGGTCTCCAGCGATTCTTATACCTAGGGTGTGAAAAAGAGGGCAGATCTGCTCATTAATACCACTCTGCCTCATTAACCATCTAGATGCTGCACGGATCAGGCTGTATGCAAACCCGGGCCTTGGCTATGTGTTACTGGCAACATCGGGGAAGGACACAGTCAGCTAGATGACATATGATAGACACCGTATACTAACCCGGGCCTTAGCTATGTGTTACTGGCAACATCGGGGAAGGACACAGCTAGATGACATATGATAGACACCGTATACTAACCCGGGCCTTAGCTATGTGTTACTGGCAACATCTGGGAAGGACACAGCTAGATGACATATGATAGACACCGTATACTAACCCGGGCCTTGGCTATGTGTTACTGGCAACATCTGGGAAGGACACAGCTAGATGACATATGATAGACACCGTATACTAACCCGGGCCTTGGCTATGTGTTACTGGCAACATCTGGGAAGGACACAGCTAGATGACATATGATAGACACCGTATACTAACCCGGGCCTTGGCTATGTGTTACTGGCAACATCGGGGAAGGACACAGTCAGCAAGACGACATAATATACTAACCCAGGCCTTGACTATGTGTTACTGGCAACGTCAAGGAAAGACACAGTCAGCTAGTGACATATGATAGACATCATATACCAGGGGTGGACTGACAACTCATGGGGCCCCTGGGTAAAAGGGGATCATGGGGCCCCTGTGTCCTTGCCAAAACTCAAAAAAGCCTATGAAAAAGGTACCAGGGGCATCTCATGGGTCCCACTACTGACCTCGGGCCCTCGGGCAGTGCCCGAGTTTCCAAATGGTCAGTCCGTCCCTGCCACATACTAACCGGAGCCTTGGCTATGTGTTACTGGCAACATCGGGGGAAGGACACAGTCAGCTACAGTAGATGACATATGATAGACACCGTATACTAACCCGGGCCTTGGCTATGTGTTACTGGCAACATCGGGGAAGGACACAGTCAGCAAGATGACATAATATACTAACCCAGGCCTTGACTATGTGTTACTGGCAACGTCAGGGAAAGATACAGTCAGCTAGATGACATATGATTGACACCGTATACTAACCCAGGCCTTGGCTATGTGTTACTGGCAACATCGGGGAAGGACACAGTCAGCAAGACGATATATAGTAGACACCGTATACTAACCCGGGCTTTTGCTGTGTGTTACTGGTAATGTTGGGGAAGGACACAGTCAGCTAGAAAAACATATGATAGACACCATATACTAACCCAGGCCTTGGCTATGTGTTTCTGTCAACGTCGGGGAAGGACACAGTCAGCTAGACGACATATGATAGACACCGTATACTAACCCGGGCCTTGGCTATGTGTTACTGGCATCATCAGGCAAGGACACAGCCAAGTAGACAATATATGAAAGACACCGTTTACTAACCTGGGCCTTGGCTATGTGTTACTGGCAACGTCGGGGAAGGACACAGTCAGCTAGATGACATATGGCAAACACCATATACTAACCCAGGCCTTTGCTACCGTATACTAACCCAAGCCTTTGCTATGTGTTATTGGCATCATCAGAGAATGGCACAGCCAACTAGACAATATATGATAAGACACCATATACTAACCCAGGCCTTGGCTATGTGTGCCTGCCAACATTAGGGAAGGACACAGTCAGCTAGACAATATATAGCAGACACCATATACTAACCCAATCCCTGGCTATGTGTTACTGCCAGCCTCAGGGTAGGACACAGTCAGCTATAATATATATAGTACACACCATATACTATCCCGGACCTTGGCTATGTGTTACCAGCAACAGCAGGGAAGTACACAGTCAGTTAGACAATAAATAGCAGACACCACATACTAACCTGGGCCTTGGCTATTTGTTACTGGCAACATCAGGGTAGGACATAGTCAGCTGCACAATATACACAGTAGTAAACACTGTATACAAACCTGGGCCTGGGCTATGTGTGGTTGCCAACATCAGGGAAGGACACAGTCAGCTAGACAATATATAGTATATACTAAATCAGGTCCTGTCCATGTGTGGTTGCCAACATTGGGGTAAGAAACTCTCAGATAGATAATATATAGTAAGCACTACTTACTAACACTTTGTTATGTGTGACTGCCAACATTGGAACAGGACACTGTAATGGACTACATACTGTATAGTAGGTAATGGATACTAACCCAAGCCTTGGGTTGGCTACTGCCAAGTTCAGGGCAGTACAACATCAGATGGACAATATATAGCAGGTACTATATACTAACCCAGGCCATGGCTATGTGTGATTGCCAGCCTAGGGGCAGTATACATTGTTAGAGGGATAATATATACTAGTCACTGTATACAAACCAAGGCCTTAGCTATGAGTTACTACCAACATCAGGCAAGGATAAAGCTAACTAACTGAGTGATATATAGTAGACACTGTATACTAGCTCTGTCACTTGAACATTCACTATACAACTCCTTGGCCATCCTCATTCTATACGGTTTTTAAAATCCCCCTCAACGCCCTTGACAGTCTCTGCCAAAGCTTACTCTTTTTCTGTATAGTGATACAATATTCAGAAAACACAATACAGACTCCACCAGTTCACAACCTAAAGTCAGCAATTGTAAATCTAAAGCAGGCAGCTTGTGGTAAATATTGAGTTTTGCCCATACCACTGCACTTGCAGAAGAGGAGAAAGCATTGACAGAGGCTGGCACACAGACAATCCATTGTTTAACAAGCTTACAAAGTGGTAAGGGAGGTTTTACAAAGCCGAGGTGCCAACTTCAGCTGTAATGGTTACAAGAAAAGCGAGAAAGATTTTATTTTTTTGCATGGGGTAGAAGGGTAAAACCAAACAAATGTTTGAAAGAAGACTCTATATAACTGAAGGCCTGCCTTAGCTGTACGCATATAAGTAATTTACACATTTCTAGATTATAGTCATTTTTGGAGGAGCACTGCTAATTGTTTTGTCAGCAGCACTTTGGAAGTGTGAAAATGTGAGTGGATTCATGCAAAACTTTGAACAAATGTTTTAGGTTGCATAAAATATACATGAAGCTGTTCACTGTCATTTTATAATCAGTTTTCTTTGACTTAAAGCAACTGGAATAGCTGACCTATTTGCCTGGCTGTTATACCGATTCACTTGCTGTAGGGCACCTTCACAAATGTGATGTGTGTGTATAAGCAGGTTGCAATTGAGCTTTTTAGGTGCTGCCCCAGACAAGAGGGTTAGAGTTCATGTTTGTCCTGGGTCTTTTGCTGTAGGACTAGGGTATACACTGATCATCCATAATATTAGGACCACCCACAATACCATTATGACCACCTACCTAGTATTGAGTAGGTCCCTCTTTTGCCACCAAAACAGCCCTGACCCTTTGAGGCATGGACTCCAGTACACCTTTATACCTCTATCCTGTGGTATCTGGTACCAATTTGTCAGCTAAAGATCACTGCCTCCGCAGGCTTGTCTTTTTCCCATAGTACACCCTGGTGCCATCTCTTCCCCAGGTACGAGAAGCACACACTCGGCCATCTACATGGTTCATCAGACTACACCATCTTCTTCCATTGCTCTGTGGCCCAGATCTACACATCCCCTTAAACAACAAACTGCAATGCACTATGTGTTCTTACACCTTTCTATCACAACCAGCATTAACTTTTTCAGCAATTTGAGCTACAGTTGCACTTCTATTGGATCTGACCACACAAGCCAGCCTTTGCCCCCCATATGCATCAGTGAGCCTTGGCTGCCCTTGACCTTGTTGTTGGTTTGCTGCTCTGCCTTCCTTGGACCACTTTTGGTAGGTACTAACTACTGCAGACCAGGAACAATCCACAAGAGCTGCAGTTTTGATGATGCTCTGATACAGTTGTTACAATTGGGCCCTCGTCAAAGTCATGCAAAGTCTTACACTTGACCATTTTTTTATACTTTTTATGATTTCAGCACATCAGCTTCAGGGACAACATGTTCAATAGTTGCCTAATATATCTCACCCACGTTCAGATGCCATTGTACTGGGATAATTAAAGTTATTCACTTAATTGTGATCATAATGTCATGGCTGATCAGTGTTATTATTATTATTATTAGTACGAGTTTATATAGCGCCAAAGGGTTTGCTCAGCGCTGTACAATAGGGGGGACAATACATGGCACAGTACAACAACAACAAACAACGTACGAGGGGTAAGAGGGCCCTACTCTTACGAGCTTACAATCTAGGAGGAGGGGATTAAGGTACAGTAGGAAGTGGCTGAGGGGGATGAAGTGGTGGGAGGAATGAGGGAGGATGGCCGTTAGGTAAGGGTGGGGTAGGCTTTCCCTGAAGAGATGGGTTTTGAGGGAGCGCCTGAATGTGAATAGGGAAGGCGACAGTCTGATGGATTGGGGCAGTGAGTTCCAGAGGATGGGGGGAGGACCTGGAGAAGTCCTGCAGTCGTGCATGGGAGGAGGAGACCAGGGAGCAGGATAGAAGGAGGTCCTGTGAGGAGCGAAGGGTACGGGTAGGGTGGTACTTGGTGATCAGGTTGGTGAGGTAGTCAGGGGCAGTGTTGTGAACGGCTTTGTAGGTCAGGGTTAGGAGTTTAAATTTGATGCGTTGGGCAATCGGGAGCCAGTGGAGGGAGAGGCAGAGGGGGGTGGCAGAGGTGGAGCGGGTGGTGAGGTGGATGAGTCTGGCAGCTGAGTTCAGAATGGTCTGGAGCGGGGAGAGCCTGCACTTGGGTAGGCCAGTGAGGAGGGAGTTGCAGTAGTCAAGGCGTGAGATGATGAGGGAGTGTACTAGAAGTTTGGTGGTGTCTGGGGTGAGGAAGGAGCGTATCTTGGCAATGTTGCGTTGTGTTTTAAGCATACCTCTCAACATTGTTATATAGAAAAGGGGGACATAATATAGCATGAAGTATTTAGGCAAAGAACATGCTCCTGCCATACTCCAAGTAAAACACAGACTATGAAGATGAATGGTTAACCTAAGTCAGCATTTTTATCACAATTTTTCCTTTATTTTGGTTTTTCAAAACAAAATAGAATAATGCGAAGGTTAGACAAAAGGTTTAATATAATAAAACACTTTTGATAGTTATGTAAATAATACATTTTTTTAGGGATCTATACATCAGCCTAATAGAGGGACAACTGAGGAGGAAAGAAGGACAGAAGGAATTAGTTCCACCAGAGGGGCAGTCTTCCCAAATAAGGAACAATTGGGAGCTACGTGTAATGAGTTAGTCAAGCAGGGGGCATTTGGCCTGGGAAAAAAAAACAAACAAACATTCTCTTTGAAGGAGCCATTCGGAATTGGGATGTAATCAAGAACTACTTTATGTGGGCTTTCCCTTAGGAGGGAAGAGTGAAGACCTCTTCCATTATGGGAGTTAAGGCTGATTGCATTCCTCCTTTGGAGGAATGCTGGGATACTCAGTAACTCTTTGGCAAGGCATAGGTCTCACTTGTCTTTACACCTCTCTCAATGTGTAACTTTACCCATAACTTGATAAAAAATAATCTTCTTTAGGAAGGAACATACATTTCACATTAATAATTATGCTACCAAAATTAGTGTGTGCTGTAAATTGCCTCCAGCATTGTTTGTTTCTTCTTGCTGGAGGCTGACATTTTGCTGAAGCCCAGAGCCCCTGAGCAGCAGTAAATCTTTAAACTGTCAGCAGATCGACCTCTAAATTTTCGTCACAGTGTTGAAAAAATAAAAAGCAACTGAGAATGTGCAGAGCAGGGTGAGGCAGTTTATTACTGGATTTTAAATAGTACAGGCA